ATGTCCTTCAAATCGGATAGCGCATCGATTACAAAAACAAATATGTGTTATTTCCCTCTAGAAACCGATTAGACCAATCTTATATGTGCACTTTCTGGCCATGACAAATTGGTTATGTGTTCGATTGGTTACAGTTATGTGACATAAAACGCACATGTCAGAAGTTGCAGCATCACATAGATAGTTTGGCAGATTGAATATCAACAGTTTTTGTTTAAAATTTTTACCGTTTTCTAAGATAAATCTGATATGTGCACCAAAATGGGAAAATAAAATTATTGGGGATGAACAGTACATGTTATCATTTTCACTTTTATCTCAGTTATTTTTATCATAATTTTTGCCATCATACTGCATTTTTAATTTATTGCTAAGTCCATCAACTTTTCAGTGCAAGTGTAAAAAATAGTTTATTGGCTCCTCCTGAAAACTTGACTAAATGCACATAACAGTTTTGGCAAGCGCACCGACGTTATATGGAATTGACGTAAATTTCGACACTCGTCAGTGTCATCCCCACACATTTTGATTTCTACTCTCTCTGTAGACAAGCGCTTAAGTGGCGTTTGGTTAATGGCACTGGGCTTAAAATTTCTAATTATAAGTTTGTAATAGCCAACCCTCATTGAGCAAGCATGGTGATTATTGCTCAAACTTTATCTGTGTGAGAAGAGGCTTTGCTTAGCAGTGGGCATATATAGGCTGTTGATGATGTTAATCTTAGTATCCTACTAATATTATAAATGTGAAAGTTTGTGTATGTCTGTATGTTTGTTACTTTATCATGTCTAAACGGCTGAAGGGATCGAGATGACATTTGGAACTTCTTCCTTCGGCTTCTTTTTCTACCACGGGAACGCGAGCGAAATCGCTGACAAAAGCTAGTAGTTCGTAATAGTAACTATTGCAAAATACAAGTCACAATCCCAGACTAGATGCTATTATTGATTATAACATCACGCCTTTTACCTCCGAAGGGATAGACAAAGGTGCACATTACGACACAATGCCACTATACAATATAACACCCACTTTTCACTATTTATGTTATGAGTCCCATGTAATAGGGGGTGAGCCTATTGCTATATACCGGGCACAATTCTAATACAGCTGAGATTTTTTTCAAAAACGTAATCGAAAAAAATCGTGGAATCGAACTCGAGACCCCGTGTCCGACAGTCACACTTGCGACCACCAGGCCAACAAGGCAGTGTGTTACTGAATTAAGGATACTGTAAAACCATTTTATTTTAAAAGAGTAACATAGAGGTTTTGCTCGTTCTTCTCTATTCGGGCATGAGCCCCGGGTGCCCTTATGGTGAAGACGATACTGGCCTTTTTTTTTGTTAAGGGGGAAAATCATCGAATGACTGCTCCCGCCTGGGTGTGGCGGGAGGGAGTGTCAGACTCTTACTGACTAAAAACCACCCCGTTCCTTCTCCTGCACGTCGAGCCGGGGCCCCGATTGCTAGTTATAATATATGTCCCATACTTATTTGTCTACTGTTTTTTGTGCATTATGCTCACTCAGTAGTCCACTTAGTAGTGAGTTTTGCCCACCGCTTATCCGACATGCAGCAGACACATTATTGTTTACTTTTAAATTATGTTTCTTATTTTGAATTGTTTAACCCGTATATCCCCAAGCGGTCAACGGTGACTGCTCTCCACTAACTACATTATAGACCTTATTTCCAATGTTCAGAGACTACTTTTGTATGAACAAATTTAGGGGATGATTTTCAACAATTTTCAACAGGTTAATTTCTGTAATGATGCCAAATAGTTTTTCTTTCTTTCTTTCTTTCAGACGTGACTAGCCCGATGTGGTTTTAAGATTGTTATTTTATTATTCATTTAAGGAAAAAAATTGTTATTTTTTTTTTAAGAAAAGAAAAAAATTGTAAGTAGTCGTAAATGTATAAAAATTGTTCAAATCACAGAACCATTTTTGTTCCATGTAAGAATCATTATAAAACAAACAGGTAATCACAGCCACTGAGCCATACATTTATCGTGTATTTGGTAGTAAGTAACGGGTTTACTCTCTAGTACCGAGTAACGAAACGTTATTCTTGAATGTGTTTCGTTACTTGCATGACTTTATTTCTTAACTAGCTGACCCGGCAAACTTCGTACCGCCTAAAAGTTTTTTCTCACCTTTTAAACCTTCCCTAGACTTCCACGAACCTATCAAGACCAAAATTAGCCAAATCGGCTCACCCGTTCTCGAGTTTTAGCGAGACTAACGAACAGAAATTCATTTTTATTTATATAGATTTATTGTATCGTTGTAGCATGATTTAAGGTTGCAGGTCGCTTCCAACTGGCCTATCTGGAAGTCATTGGGGGAGGCCTATGTTCAGCAGTGGACATCCTATGGCTGATATGATAATGATGTAGCATGGATTAGTATGTATGTATGATATTCTGGGCTCAGTTCATATACAACTCTATTCGATTCTTTGGGTTGTATGGAGGTATAGACAAGAACCGAGTAACATAACAATATTATAGTAACAAGCACTCATTTTTATAGTAATGAATACATACAGTATTGCTTTTTTTCATTACATTTACAGCTCTACCGAATACCTTCCCTGTTTTTATCAAAAATACAATAATATACATAAATATGAAATATTAAACAAAGGCTAACTATTGAAACAATAGGTCATAGGATTGTCTATAGTTGTACCTTTTAATTTAGGCACTACAAATCCCTCCTTAGCCCTCTCACAAAAAAAAAACAAATCCAAACTTCAAACTCACATCTGTTTAACATTATGAAGACATATAAACTATGTTTGTTACCTACTGATTTACACAAAAACTACTGGACGGATCTGAACGAAATTTTGCACAGAATTAGATTATAGTCTGGAACAGCATATGGACTACTGTTAAAAGTGATAATAAGGTGGATGAAAGCCAGAAACTAGTTAAAAAAACAAACTCACAGTAGTAACTTCAGTGTTGCTCTGGACAAAGTTAGCACCTTCTTCGTCAGGCTCTCCTTTCACGTCATATATTGTCTCTGCCATCACGATCCTTCCAGAAGAGTCCATGGTCCACATACCACCAAAAGCGAAGTTCGAAGGATTGCCACTTTGTTCGTAAAGTATGACGGTATTAGGACCCAATTGAACGGGTTCCCCCTTCATATTTACGAAGACTGGTTGCTCGAAGTTACCCTCAACCAGCTGCCCCGTGTGCACGATCTGCTGGCCCTGCTCCACAGGAACCTCCACCACCTGATTCACGACCTCAACCTTTTCTTTCTCCTCTTGCACATTTTTACGGTTGACCATTATTTTTTGTTTTTTCTCACCCTCGCCACTCTCATCACTTTTCCTCTTAATCACAGTTTTCTTTTTGTTTTTCTTGTCCATTTTTATAACAGTTTTTGTTTAATTTTAAACACTAAAACCAGCGTTTCCACGCTAAATATTGTGGTTTATTGTTGGGTGAACCGCCTCGCCCTAGGCACGACATTTTAACACTTTTTGCAATAATACAAGGTTACGCTACGTCTTATTTCATACAATTATCTATAATAACATTATCTATAGTAAATAAACACAGTATTTTATTGTTTTGTTACTGGATAATTGAGATAATTTCAAAATTATGCCAGTGGGAAAAAGACAACTCAAAAGGAAGCCATTTTTAAATGGCGGCAAGCTTTTTTCTCTTTCTTGCAGTCGTGGCATCCCTTTCTTCAGCACCAATTTCGTTCTGAAACTGTACTGAATGAATGATTTATTTTTAATGTCTATTAAACGCATTTAATATTCTATAAATAACATTTCCAAGTTAATCCAAGTTAACCCACGATATTTTTTGAAGTTTGTAATATTTATTAACATATTCTTTGCCTTGCTATTTGCCAACTTCCTTTCCGTTAGTTTCTTTAAATCGGTATACGGTTAATGATGTCATATAAATCTTAACATCTTACATTATCATCTCCATTATTTATTACAAAAACATTGTATCTAATATTGAAGCAAAACCGGGAGCAAAAATAGTTCATTGAACTTTTTAATCCGAACTAAAACGTTCAGTCATCATAAATGGATAATCTGTGACTCATCATCTGATCTTCTCCGTCATCATGACTTTAGTTCGTTCGTTAAACGTCAGTTAGTCGTCAAAATAAGCAAATAACCTATTTTTTTTGTATTATTCTGACGAAAACAATAACCTTCGAGGTTAATTACAATCATTATTTATGTGCGATAAGGTCATACAAAACCAGTTTACATGCTTATCCTCAACACACTTACGATTTTGCTACAAGTAGCGTTTATAGTGTCTATGTCACTGCTGTCCATGAACATAATCAGATATTTTACTGGTGGTGTTAAAAAAATGGCTTTAATTGCTCCAGCGATGTTCGTTAACCACGGAGGAGGTCCTATGCCTCTTCTGGGGGACAAAGACCACGCAGGACTGACGAATTTCCTGCGCGACGGTGTCCAAAAGCATCTAAATTTAAAGGAGGTAAAAGCTATCATTCTTGTGACTGCCCATTGGGAAGAGAATGTCGTAACGATATCTTCGGGTAAACATCACGATCTATACTTCGATTATTACGGTTTCCCGCCAGAAACCTACAAATATAAGTACGATGCACCCGGAGATCCGGCTTTAGCAGAAAGGATCCATCATACGTTGAAAAAGGCGGGAATAAATTCGAAATTGGATGCGAAAAGAGGATGGGACCATGGAGTTTTTGTGCCAATGATGTTAATTAACCCTGCAGCCAGTGTGCCTATAGTACAAATTTCAGTTTTGTCTAATCAGGATCCAGAACAGCATTATAAACTTGGGCAGGCGTTATATGAATTTAGAAAAGAAGGTATTGCCATTTTGGGCTCTGGAATGTCGTACCACAACATGAGAGAATTTATGTTAGGCCGACACCAATCCTCAGTAGTAAACAAAGAATTTGACGAATACTTAAACAAAGTTTGCACTGCAGAAGATGAGGCTGAACGAAAAGAAGGTTTGTTGTCCTGGAGACAACAGAAAGGTGCTACAGAAGCCCATCCAATGAGGGCAGCGGAGCATTTTATGCCATTGATAGTAATTGCAGGCGCTGGGGGCTCAAAACCTGGTGAGCGTATCTTTAACTGGGATATGAGCGGTGTGTTCCGATTAAGTGCCTTCGTATGGAAAGATGAGTGATTACATTATTCTAGAATATTCTAAATTAAGTCAGCATTTTGCAAATATTGTTTACGTAATCATGATGAGGTATTTTTGTTGTGAATGCTGTTGAACTTTCATATCTACAGATAACTGTTATGCTTGCTGTTGCGAACACAAAAATGCAAGTCTTTTATATGGTACTAGCTACTCCTGTGTGGTTTTACTCGCTCTGCTCGTCTCCTATTTATTGTAGCGTGATATTTTATACTCTATAGCCTTCCTCTGTAAATGAACTATGCAACACAAAAATAATTATTCAAATTGGCCCAGTAGTTCTTAATATTAGTGCATGCAAACAAACAGACAAACTGTTTAGCTTTATATAATATTATAAGATAAGATAATGGACTCTATTGTAAACTAACCCACAGCTTTCCCTGAATTGTAAAATAAATAAAAGTAGGCTACATCACTCCCCATGCCTAAGGCAGTATGTCTACATTTAAGTGCATTAAAATAAAAATATAAATTATCTATGGCTGCATGAAGATAATTACATAAAATATCTGTGGATATGAAAAGTTAAAAAAAACAATGCATTTTCTTATGAGGCTATGTTTAAGTTACAAAGAAAGTGTATTTAAACTGTCAAACACCGAAAAAACTGTATAATGACGGTACTCGACGAGTTAATCTGTAAATTGGTGGACTTATGGTCAAGTAATGCAATATTTTGAAACATTTATCAATATTTTTATTTTTCTTTAAAGGCTAATTATATTTGAAATGGATGCTTGATATGCTGAAGAAATAAGTATAGGTATCAATAGTATATGTTGGTATAACCTTTTTGGCATAATAACATTTTCACATTTTTTTTTTCATATAATTCTTGGGTATAAGATGGATTCTGGTCACAAATAAAAAAGAGTTTAATTCAATATTACCATGCCTTTGAATTTAATGTACAAACATTGTTTCATTAACTTAAAATTATGCATAAATTGGAATGCGTAAATAATTTAATGCCATATTAAATGCCTAATCAAAATGATTCATAAATAACAACAAACCTAAAGAATCACTTTTTTGGCGGCAAATTTGTAAAACAAATTATGAACATAGGTACTTTTACTTCTAATTTTTAAGTAACTTATTTCTTTTGTTTTAAATTATTTTAAATTATGTCTGCCAGGCTTTTTTGTAAAAATGTTTTTGTAAGTATTTATTTTTAATTGAATTTTGTTCTGATACACAAAATACTTGTTTTATTTTACACAGATAATATAATGTAATAACCAGTACACGAAACAATCGAATTGATATTACTTATTAAAAAAAATATAGAATGCCGGTTCGACCGGAGTGATACCACGGCAACGTTTGCGTCATGTTTTGCTGTGTGAGTGAGGTTACCGAATAATAATTTTCATTTTATTAATTTTTGATCAAAAAGTAAATAGGTACAATTAGGTTAGAAATGATGCAATCAGCTTTTACGATTAAGGGACCATTTGGATAATTAACAAATTGTGGTTAAATAACTATTTAGGTTTAAGAGTTGCTTATTTTTAAGTAAATTATAACATTTTATGAAAATTCTAATGTTTTTATTTTTTATTTTCGTTGTTTACTTTCAACTTCGGTGACAATTACATTGTACAGCTTGTGCAAAAAAGAGTTTCGAAATTGAGGTCGCTATTATCGTACCAACCTGGTACCTACACTACTGACTACAGCCTCGATGATACTGGCTGGGCTTTTCAAGCTCCTAGTCGGCGAGTAGCTTGTAAACGTGGTCCGTGTCATTTAGCTTTTTACAATCTGCTTTTAAATATCCGATTGTAAAAAAGCTGCTTTACTCTCTCACTCGCTGGCTTTTAAACTCGCCGACTATTTTTTTTTAAGTGGGGAAAATCATCGAATGGCTGCTCCCGCCTGGGTGAGGCCGGAGGGAGTGTCAGACTCTTACTGACTAGAAACCACCCCGTTCCTTCTCCTGCACGTTGATTCGGAGCCCCGGTTACCCGTTAGATTCTCCTCTACTCCGAACCGGCATCAGCCCTGTTGGGCCCCATCCGTGGTGGTCTGATGGCTATTTGAGGCGCGCGCGGCACGCGATGCGCCGTACGCTCGGGTCTGTTTCTGGTCGGACGGGGAGCCAGCCATGCTCGCCGTCCGCAGGCCCGCGCTTACGGTGAAAATTTAATTGAGCATTGAAAAATCGGCCCTTAGTCGCACACCGAAACGTAACACAAACATTGTACCTACCACGCCGTGTACTTGAGGCCGTGGTATAACGCCGGTGAAGCCGAAACAGTAGTGCTGAAGAATACCTCTCTTATATTTCGGCTATGAGTTTTAGGACATAACTCTTTTTTGTTTAAATTATAGTACATCAGCTACCTGCCAGTAAAAGTCCCGTTAAAATCGGTCCAGCCTTTTCAGAGATTAGCCAGTATTTACAAACTGACAGAAATTTGAAAAAATGACGTTTTGGTATGTGTATCGTATGTATATTCGAGTCGCGGAGAACCTAACGGGTAACCGGGGCTCCGGTTCGACGTGCAGGAGAAGGAACGGGGTGGTTTTTAGTCAGTAAGAGTCTGACACTCCCTCCCGCCTCACCCAGGCGGGAGCAGTCATTCGATGATTTCCCCCCTTAAAAAAAAATCGTATGTATATTCATTATGCATGTAGTAAAAAGCAGTTATTTCAATAATACAGACAGACACTCCAATTTTATTTATCGGTATAGATTCGATTCAGTCTTAATCATATTGTGTTCAGCCAACCTAGATTATAATAATTACCTACATATATAAACGCCTTACGTGGCGCATAATTTATTGAATCAGTAATAAATGAAACTACGTAATTAATATTATTAAACTGTCTATTAATATTTATAAATGTACAACTAACAGGAAGTCTATCAATTATTCATTTTTGTAGCCAATCTAGATGATTCTACTCAGGGCCGTTTTAGACTATTCTGGGGCCCCTCGGGGACACAGTAACTCGAGGCCCTTTGGATTTTCTCCTGTATCATGGGTGCAATTACAAACATACAAGTTCATATACACATGACACCCAAACCCAAAACAACAATTTGTGGATCACACAAAGAGTTACTTATTAATTACCAATTCTTTGCCAGAGTCTGTATTTCCTGAAGGGTATAACCTGGGTGTCTTCAAGGCCTGAGTGAATAGGTTGCTTATGGGACGATGTGCTCCATCGTAGACCACATCATCGCTTACCGAGGCGAGATAGTGGTCAAACGTCGCCCCATCAATTAGAAAAAAAAAATAAAAAGTTACTCCGTGCGAGAACGTGAGAGAATCGAACCTACTAAACGTTGCGGGCAGCCAGTTGCCGCGCAACCGGCAATGTGTGCCCGTTGTAGAAATTGTCGGTTCTTCGGGGGCCCCCTGACGATGGGAGCCGTAGGCACGGGCACCGAATGCCCTTATGGCAAAGACGGTAATGATTCTACCTAATATTTTTTAATTACCGACCGGAGTGATACCACGGCCGAGCAGCAAACCGACGTGAAACAAAGCTTGCGTTGTGTTTCGTCATGTGAGTGAGGTAACCGGAGCCCCCACCCTCTACCCCAATCTCCCAATGCCTGAATCGCAACAATCCTAAAATTCCTAATCCCCAAAAGGCCGGTAACGCACCTCTGGTGTTTCAGGTGTCCATCGGCGACGCCAATTGCTTACCATCAGGTGATCCGTCTGCTCGTTTACTGGCTTATCCCATAAAGAAAAAATGTTATGATGTGAGTTCCATTCCCATGTAAGAAATATGGGGGCGAGCCGACGAACCGTATTATCCGTAAGGCAAACTAGACAGTGCCGGGTGCCAGGTTACATAGGGGCGCCGCGAGACGCGCGTGCACAACTGCTCATCTGCTTCTAGACGAGCCTATTGCCATACACCAGCCAGACACAGTCACAAACTCCGTGCTTGGACTGACTGATAGAACTTCAATTAACACTACCCAAATCGGGAAACGAACTGATTACACCTACTTGCAGCTGCTATTACATTATATCTAATTACTTATTATTGGAAGCAAGTATAACAGCTCACACATAGGACCCACTTCGTTTTCAGTCAAATTTCCGTGATGCCTGGCGACTGGGCTTTACCCAGTTGTACAGTCTCTTTTTTGTGCCTTCAGGCTTAATTCATTCTGTCTCATGCAGTAATTCACCAATGGAAGTGGAAATTATCATTTTTTTCTTCTCCTCTTATAATATCTTCTGATTCACTTCGTTGCGGGAACCAAGACAGTTGTTCATGTCCCTGGGACGCGCCGGACTTCAGTGTTCCGGTGTTTGCATGGATGTATCTACTGTAGATCCTGGCTTACAGGAGTTGCAGCGGTTTTGGGAGGTTGTGCCGGGCTTGCCCCATTAAAAAAAATCTAATTACTTGACTGATTAATTTTAATTATTTTTTCAAAGAAAACCCTGGGAAAGACGCTAGTCTCAGACTAGACTTTGATCATGACTACGCTACAAACTTACACATGCAGACGGTAAAACCTGGAACTGATCAAAACTCCAAACAAAAATGTCAACATTGCATGTCTTTCACTAAGAAACTAGCGCCACTGATAACGGAAAATATAAGTATGTTTGCAAAAGTAGAATGTGGAATGACGGATCAAAACAGTATTTACTTTACTCATCCTAAGATAACAACGTGTGGTGATTGTAAATTACGTAAATAACAAAATGACGATAAATAAATTAATCTTCGGAACATTTACAGTGATAATATTCAATTTTATAACAAAAATCAAAATGGAGGACGTGTATTTCGCGCCATCGTTGTTTTTAAATCATGGCGGCGGTCCGTATCCCGTTTTGGGTGAAAAGTACAATTTGGAAATCGGTGAGGCGTTGAAAAATGTCTCGAATTATGTGGATTTGAGCCGTTTGAAGGCCATTGTGGTAGTTACAGCGCATAGAGAAGAGGATGTAGTCACTATATCATCTGCGGAGCGACATTCCTTGGTCTATGATTATTACAATTTCCCACCAGAAAGTTACGAATTCCAGTACAACGCTCCAGGTACCATTTAAATTATTTATTTTGCTTTATCCTACTGACCTTACAAATATTATATTATACATATGTGTATTTAGTGTGGGAGAGCCATGCTTCGGCATGAATGGTCCGGCTCGACCGGAGGGATACCACGGCCGAGCAGAAAACCGACGTGAAACAACGTTGTGTTGTGTTTCGTCGTGTGAGTGAGGTTACCGGATGCCCAATTACCCCCCCCCCCTCCCTTTCCCCAATCCCTCAATCCCTGAATCACCAACAATCCTCAAATTCCTAATCCCAGAAGGCCGGTAACGCACTTGTAACGCCTCTGGTGTTGCGGGTGTCCATGGGCGGCGCCGATTACTTACCATCAGGTGATCCGTCTGCTCGTTTACCGGCTTCTACCATAAAAAAAATATATGTGAAAGTTTGTGTGTTTGTATGTATGTTTGTTACTCAATAACGTCAAAATGGCTGAAGGGTTCGGGATGAAATTTGAAACAGGAGTAGATTATGGTCTGGAATTACACGTAGGCTACTTTCGTGGGTGTAGCCAGCCAGGGGCCAAGTCTAAAATATAAGTATGTAACTGATCAACTAAACTGGCCAACTAACCTTATTAAAAACAAAAAAAAGTATAGGTACAATTGGGTACTTGCCAGTCAAATTCAATACTTTTTTCGAACTGTCAAAAATGACAGTTTTCTATGAATTTTGTACGAGATTGTGTATTGTGACGTCACGTTTTTTAGCGTCAAACAGCATACCTACTTATTTGTAAAAAAAATTGCTGGAAAAATACTAAAATTAAATTGGTCGTAAATCAATTAATGAAAGTGTGATTATTTTTTAATATTTCATTGTATTGAACAGTTGAAATAATTTATTTTTGACTAAGGAAAGTACCCAATTTATTGTAAATACTAAACACTTTCTGCAATTACTAGTTACTTAATAGATGATTCAGATTTTTAAGTTTGGGTGGGTACTCTTTATCTGACCTGTGGGGCAAGTGCCTCACCCTGACCCACCATGGCAATGCCCATGGCTACTTTATCCCACGGGGTCACGAGCAAAACTGCTGACAGAAGCTAATCACTACATAGTATAAAACAAAGTCGCTATCCGCCGTCTGTCTGTCCCTATGTATGCTTAGATCTTTAAAACTACGCAACGGATTTTGATGCGGTTTTTTTTTAATAGATATATATTGATTCTTAAGGACGGTTTACATACATTTATACATTTATACGTGTACGCGTTGTACGCGTGCGAAGCCGGGGCGGGTCGCTAGTAAATTATAAAGTTAAGCAGTACCTATTACAGTTATATTACAAAGTAATTGATTCTGCCTGTCATTGTCCTCATTCCTAAAGATAAAAGTTCAACTGATACCGCAATAATGACGCATTGGGTTTTTTTGAATTAGTCGCAACGGCTGAATACCTACCCAATAACAGTAACTGACATATTTAACAACAATAAAATATAAACAAAAGAAAAAGAAAAGTAAAACTACATTAAAATAGGAGTTAACACCATTCATAAGTTTCACTCGCAATACGTCAAGTGAAACAAATGAATTTATTCCTGCAAATAGGCTATAAGGCAGCACTTTAACACTTCACGCACGTCAATTTTATCAAGCGATCGATGAGGTCGACATTTCTTAACTGACTACTCTGAGAAGAAATGCTGAAACAAACCCAGAGGTCTGTCTCTTTTAAAGTCCAGACAATATGTATAACAGATTATGTGTGAGAACCGTGCAAGTTCTTTCTGTAGTGGCCTTTTGAGGAAAGAACCACAACAGTTTGAGCGGACCCGTTCTGAAGGCAGTACGCATGTGTCGGTTTACAGTCAGCTCAATTAACAGGTGAGGCTGACTGATTCGACGTACAATATCAACTTAAGGAACATTTGCGTGGGTCGCACAAATACTCAGTAGTCAGAATATGGGTAATTAGAACAGAAATGGCGAGTGTCGCACAGTCCTAGCACTAACAATTGTAACATTCATTATTCATGTAACAATGATTCTGATAAATTCTCCTTGGTATTACAATTCATTATTGTTACAAGATTCAAGTGAAACAAGTGAAACAAGTGAAACAAGTGAAACAAGTGAAACAAGTGAATTTATTTCTGCAAATAGGCTACAAGGCAGCACTTTTACACGTCATTTTTATCAAGCGAACGATGAGGTCGACATTTCCTAACTGACTACTCTGAGAAGAAATGCCGAAACAAACTCAGAGGTCTGTCTCTTTTAAAGTCCAGACAATATGTATAAAAGATTATGTGTGAGAACCGTGCAAGTTCTTTCTGTAGTGGCCTTTTGAGGAAAGAACCACAACAGTTTGAGCGGACCCGTTCTGAAGGCAGTACGCATGTGTCGGTTTACAGTCGGCTCAATTAACAGGTGAGGCTGACTGATTCGACGAACAATACCAACCTAAAGAACATTTGCGTGGGTCGCACAAATACTCAAACTGTCAGAATATGGGTAATTAGAAAAGAAATGGTGAGGCAAAGTCTCGCACGGTCCTAGCACTAACAATTGTAAAGGAAAAAGCAAATGTCAAGTTAGAACAATGTATGAAAAACAATGTCAAGAAATGTAACTATATGTTACAAACATGTCAACATGACCCGTGTGGACGTTACAGCAGCTTATTCCCAAGCCAGACTATCATCTAGGTAGTCTTTAATTTTATAAAAAGCTTTACTATAAAATTTATCTTTAATGGCATTTTTAAATTTATTTAGACTCAGATTTTGGATATGGCTGGGAATTTTATTGTAAAAGCGTATACTCTGACATCTAAACGAACCACTTATTTTCTTTAGTCTAGTAGTGGGAACAACATATTTGTCTTTATTTCTCGTGTTGATATTATGTATATCACTATGCTTTTTAAATAAATTTTTGTTTTTATGAGCATATACTACATTTTCATAAATGTATTGAGAGGCAACGGTCATTATATTAATTTCTTTAAATAGTTCCCTGAGAGAGTACCTCGGACTAAGATTATAAATTGATCGAATGGCCCTCTTCTGCAGAACAAAGATAGATTGAATGTCAGCAGCATTCCCCCATAGGAGAATACCATATGACATGACACTATGAAAATAACTAAAGTATACTAATCGCGCTGTATCTACATCGGTTAACTTTCTAATTTTTTTAACGGCATATGCTGCAGAACTGAGCCTTTTCGATAACTTATCTATATGTGGAGCCCACTGGAGCTTAGCGTCTAGGGTTATACCTAAAAAGACAGCAGAATCTACAGGGCTCAACTCCTCACCCTTAATGAGCACGCTGGTTTTAACATGTCCAACATTTGGTGTTGTAAATTTAATGCATTTAGTTTTAGTTCCATTTAGTAATAGGTTGTTGGCACTAAACCAGCGTACTATTTCCGAGAGAGCATTGTTCACATTATCAATGACTAATTGTCTACGTTTAAGTTTAAATAATAACGAAGTATCATCCGCAAACAGTACTATCCCGTGGTTATCCCGTACGAGGTAAGGTAAGTCATTTATATATATAAGAAACAAAAAAGGGCCGAGAATTGACCCCTGCGGAACCCCCATCCTGACAACAGACCCGGCGGAGACTTTTCCGTTTATCTCGACTCTCTGAATCCTGTTACTCAAGTATGAGGTAAGAAGATCCAGAGATTTACCTCTTATTCCATAATGGGATAGCTTCCTGATCAATGTATCATGAAGGACACAATCGAACGCCTTGGATAAGTCACAAAAAATGCCCAAAGCATCGCTTGAGTCCTCCCAAGCGTCATATACGTGATTAAGAAGTTCAACACCGGCATCAGTTGTTGAACGACCCCTGGTAAAACCAAACTGGTTAGCATGTAACAATTTATTTCTATTAAAAAATCTTTGCATTTGATTAAGAATAATTTTTTCAAAAATTTTACTAAATGAAGGTAGTATTGAAATAGGTCTAAAGTTAGTGGGGTCAGAAGTACTACCTGATTTAAATAACGGTGTTACTTTACTATTTTTCATAAGATCAGGAAACACACCACGGTCGATACAATTATTAAAAATTAGAGCTAATAGAGGTGCTATAATAGCTATAACCGAGCTGACAATGTACACAGAATTACCCCACAAATCTGCAGTCTTTTTCTTATTTAAGGTATGGAAGGTTTTGACAATATCTGTGTAATCTATGTGTTCAAAAGAGAACCCTTTGCTGCAAGCTATAACATTTTCTTTTAGTAAAGATTCTGCAACAGTGGGAGATGAATTCAACGACTTAGTCGTGGATATAGGAATGTCCGAAAAGAAACTTTCAAATGCAGCTGCAACTTCTGCGTCTGATTTTATTACATTATTATCAATTAGAAGACTATATTCATTACTTCTCTTTTTGGACCTTCCCGTCTCACTGTTAATAATACTCCAGGTCGCTCTGATGACATTGGTACTGTTCTTTATTTTGGAGCTCAAGTACCGCGACTTTGCAATAGCGCAGACCTTTTTAAACAATTTAGAATATGTCCTAACATATACATTAAATTCGATTGTGTTAATAAATGTCCTCTCACTATATAGTTCATAGAGACGTTTCCTACTTTTATAGATGCCAGTGGTTGCCCATTCATTGAAAGATACATTGCTATTAACTGGTATAGTTTTAGGTGTAAAGGTAGATTTAAACTCGGTATGGTACATATTAAAAAAATCATCATACAAATTATTAGGATTTTTATTCATCAACAAAGGTAATTTTTCAGTGACTTTAGATTTGAAGATTTCAATGCGTCTTTCAGTCTTTGGGTTAACAGTGATAAATGGTTTAGACATTGTGTTTACATGATTTGTTATTGATTCAACTTCAGAAGACGCGAGTGCGACTGCTGGACAAGGGGTCTCGGGTTCGATTCGATTCACGCAAAGTAATACTGGATTTAAAAAAAAATCTCAATAGTACCACGGAATTTGGAATTGGTCCCGGTATAATATGGCAATGAGCTCACCCCCTATTACATGGGACTCATTACATAAATAGTGAAAAGTGGGTGCATTGTTCAATGGCATTAAGTACCGTAATGTCACCTCTGCCTACCCTGGCAGCGCCATATGGTGTAGAAACATACGGATTGTAACCGAGAAGACTTTGCTCAGCAGTTGCACTTGCGGCCTTCAGTCACTATTAATTTATTTATACAGATAAATAAAATAGCCGTTTTTTTATAAATTCATATACAGGGTTACAGGTTAAGTCGACCTAAATCCTTTAAGAGGTAGCAGCATCATTTCTGACTGATTTGACTATGGAACCCCCTAGCCCAAACTTAATCGTTCTCAGCGTCAAATTTAACTTTAGTCAGAAAACAAAATGAAACAATCCAAATAGGAAACGAATAAGGTTTATTAATAATTTTTACAATACATGTTCCACATGTCCACCCCTATTTCGCACACATACACGCATTCTGTGTCTTAAGCCACTTTTCACTACCCCAGTTGTTAGTCCTCTTCTTATTTCGTTAGCAGCATCAATAATTTTCTGCCTCTTGACGCTTAAGTATCGTTATGTTTTACTACTACCTGGTAGCATATCATCGATGTTTTTATTAAAAAAATCCAATAATACCATATTGTATTATACCTTATCGGAAAGCTGAAGAAGCGTAGATATTTTTAAGCATATCTGCAGCACAACTTTCGTAGACTTTTTTTGCAATATCTTACAAAGAAAAAAACACTTTTCACAAATTTATTTCTTTTTTTAACAATTAGTCGTCTAATACGACTCAGTTGGTACAGTTAATTGCAGTTTTTGTGTTTAAAATAATGGAACAACTAATCTGCTACACAAAAAATACAAAAACTAAAACATTAGAGGTACAAAACACAAAAAAAGGGCACAATAGACAAAAAATCTGGATTTTTTATAAAAAATCTTCAAAGTCCCATAACTTGAGAACGATTAAGTTTGGGCTAGGGGAAATTTTTATTTATATTCTTAACCCTGTATACACAATACACATACCAAAATATAATTTTTTACAATTTATGTCTGTCTGTCTGTTTGTATCAGAATCAGAATCAGAATCAGAATAATTTTATTTGTAAACATAGGTATGTGAGGTGTTACAGGTAGAAAGATTCTCCATGTTTTGCCCAGAGGCGTACAAATATTGCATATAATTAAAATTATTTAACATTGTCATCATTCAAAAATTAATTGACACTTGTAATTGCAAATTAAATTGAAACCGATTAAGTAACATGTCATACAATACTAATGCCAAATAAAATTAGGAACATCAAATAAGTCATAAGTCATAAGTAATGTTAATATTAACAAGATTTAACAAATTGTCTAGAGAGATTAATTTTCATTATAACATTAACAGATATTAATACGCATATACATATCATCACAAATAAAATAGAATTAATTCAATAAAATGTCAAAAAAAAGTTACATGTCATATAGGCCAATGTCAAACAAAATTCAAAAAATCAAAACAAATGGGGTTGTGCGCTATTGTCTGAGGCAGTAATTATAGAATTGTCGTCCAAATAGGCCTTTTGTACTGGCTGGTTTGTATCTCTGGAATAGCTGGACTGATTTTGCAAGGCTTTTATTGACAGGTAGCTGATGTGATGCTCCTTATTACGTCAATAATCATCATAGTATCAATAACCATAGGCTACGTTTATTATGGAAAATTGAAACAAAAAATAGTTATGTTCTAAAATTCATATTCTACGTGGACAAAGTCGTAGGTAACAGCTAGTAGGTACTTAAATAATTATTTGGTTCATAAGCCGTTTAAACACGCAATAATATGTATCACGAATCTGTATCGACCTAAATGCTCTTGACCGAATTTTACCTACTGCAGTCAATGTTAAAAATTGTATTTAATAATTACCTCTACAATACAGTACTTGCCAACGTGTTGCCAACTAGTCATTTTTTTTTTCTTTTGGCAACTGAGTCTCCAATACAGTGTTGTCGACTATACTGCCAGTGTCGAGTGGTGACGAAAGAGAAACTAGTCATATTCAATACTTTTTTCGAACCACAGATTTAATAAAGAAGTCGAACTGTCAAAAACAACAGTTTTCTATGAATTTTGTACGAGATTGTGTATTGTGACGTCATGTCTTTTTAGCGTCAAACAGCATACTTATTTGTTAAAAATTTGCTGGAAAAATACTAAAATTAAGTTGGTCATAAAATCAATTAATGAAAGTGTGATTATTTTTTAAAATTTCATTGTATTGAACAGTCGAAATAATTTATTTTTTATTAAGAACAGTACCCATTTATAAACAACTCCCTACTTTTGTTCTAGTAGTTGAAAATTAGATATTTTATTACATAGCCTAAAACGTTTTTTTATTTTACAATTTACATAGATGGCACAGTTACGTTTAACCACTCTGACGTCCGTGGATAGTACGGTATCCAAGAAAAAAGTAGCGTCATACGCCCATGGATACTATAGTATCCAAAGCGACGAGTTGTGTTTAATGTGTAATTATTTCTTAATATTTTATCTTTTTCAATCTCTTTGACTGGATTTAGGTGTTGCATTGTTCTCACACAATCGAACCAACAAAACTATGTAACTAGAGAATTGTATTGTGAACCCGATTGAAAAAGAGTAACCTATGGAGATTCTTTCTCGTTCTTCTCCACCCTCTTATAGGAATCTACACCTTGGAATGAGCAATTAGCTTCACTTCAAAATTTTTGTTGTTGACGTTCAAAAGTGCCTTTCTGGTCTAATTGAAATTAATGATTCTGACTTTTATTTAGCTTAACAACATCACGCCTTCTATTATTACACATTACGGCACTTATTGCCATTGTACAATGTAACACCCAATTTTCACTATTTATGTTATGAGTCCCATGTAATAGGGGGTGAGCCTATTGCCATATACCAGGCACAATTCCAGACTCCGTGCTACTACTGAGAATTTTTTTAAAACCCAGTATTAGTTAGCTGACCCGGGAATCGAACCCGAGACCCCTTGCCTTGGCGGTTCCACTTGCGACCACTCGGCCAACGAGGCAGTCGTTTATAAATTCTGAGATGGAACAGCGACAGTAATGTTTTCCTTTTCGCAGGGGAAACAGTACACAGAACAGTATCGGTTTTGACGTTTCAATAAAAGTATTGAATTTGACTAGTTGTCAATTACCGTATTTGGATCATATTATGTCTTATCTGAGAGTTATAAGAGCAATGAGAAATGTATTTTAATGCTGTACTGTGCCCTTACAGTTCTAGAGATACAAATAACTGTCATTAAAAACGTATTATATCAAATTTTTCTACGTTTTCCAGGAGATCCAGTTTTGGCGGCAAGAATACACGAAGCGTTCAGAACCGCGGGAATCGAGTCACGATTAGACGACCAAAGAGGTTGGGACCACGGAGTCTTTATACCAATGATGTTGGTGAACCCCAAAGCAGATATACCTATAATACAAATATCTATATTGAAAAACCAAAATGCGGTGCAACATTACGAAATTGGTAGAGTTTTGTACCAATTCAGGAAAGAAGGGGTCGCCATCTTTGGTTCCGGATTGTCATACCATAATATGGGCGAATTTCGAAAAGCGAAACCAGAAACTGAAAAAGATATTGTTAATACTGAATTCGATAGGTTTCTGAATGAAGTTTGTACGGGTGATGAAGAAAATAGAAAGAAAATTGTGTTTTGGGAGCAAGAGAAGGGAGGTTATGACAGCCATCCGTTGGGAGAGGCTGACCACCTCATGCCGCTGATTGTCAATGCAGGAGCCGGTGGAACGGAACGCGGAAGAAATATATTCAATTCTGTATTTCTGGGTAAATTTAAAATTAGCGGGTTTGTTTGGGATTCCTAAAATATAGAAGGAAACTTCTTAATTACAGGGTATTTTCCTAAATTTTATTTTCATGTCCGTCTGGTAGATTATTTTAAAACATTAGACACGTATTTTTTCTTTGCTCACAAAATTAAATAAGTAAGTACTTTCGATATATATTGATTTGAAATATCGTGTGACGTCACAGAGTGCTACATTTTGTAGCACGTTATGACATTACGACCTCCCACTCCTAAACTTAACGCCATTTTATCTAAGCATTATAACTTTATACGAGAAAATAAAAAAATACGTGTCTAATATTTTTTTTATTATCTAAGTGACGGACTAATTAGATTTTTAATTTTCATACCCTGGCAACTACACTGCTCCTGTATTGTATAGTCTGTGTTGAAATTGGTGGTTCAGTTGTAACGTTGTACCTTGTTTGCCCTAAAAATAGCTTAGAAACCATATAAATTATAAATAATTACAATAGATTATTCTAAAACTATTATTAAAATACACTAAATAAACAAATAGAAACACATCTTACTACTTACTAATTTAAAACGCACTAAAATAATTAATTTTATATAAAAACATTACGGAACCCAATATTAATTGTTTACGCTAAGGTCCTCGCTTCTATTGCGCCTACGCATCTCTAAACGAGTTAATAACTAGTCGTGTCGGCTCGTCTCGGGCGCATTCGTAAAATCCAACGAACAGTCAACTTAAAGGCATCAGAGGTGACGGCTGTGTCACTCGATCGCGGACGACCTACGTTGCAAGATCGTACTTACCTACCTAATTAAATCTACCTTAAATCAATTATATAAATTGTAATCGGAATCCCGCTGGGGTAAGTTTCCATGTATTGCTTAAGTGTTGCTATTGTAAGGTGTTTCTTCTTCTTAATTTCTCGCTAGCAGCGGCTATTCCTTTTTTCTTTGTCTGCTGGGACACTGTGACCTTTGGACCCGGCTACGTGGTCCGAGCTCTGCTAACGCTTGCCTTGTATCTGCGCTTCCAGGATTTATGTTCTACAATTAACCTCGCATCGCAGCCATCTACCTGGCGGATTTACGTTCTGCTTTTGACCTCGCATCGCAGCCATCTACCTGGCGGCGAGTGGAAGACCAGACCTCCTTCTACCTGGGAACTACCTAGGCCCTGCTGAAGACCTGGAAGTGCATTTGGAACGAGACCGGACCGCCTGCAGAGCTACTCCACGGTTCAGGCCAGTGTTCTCAGCGTATCTATTACCCCGAACCTGGACGTGATTGGGGCAACAGATAATTGGCAATAATAGAGTGAACTACTTCTAAAAAAAGTGTACTTTATTTGGACCCCTACCTACCTACCTGCCGGCCACCTGACTCCTACAGGAGCCTAGTTGCCGCACAGTACTAAACAGTAGAAGATATAGTAAGATAGTTTTGTAACTTTATAAAATACTCAAATGAAAACAATAAGCTTAATGTTTAAACAAAAATAATTGTTTTATTGAAAAAAAAAACAATTCAAGTGTGGGAGAGCCATGCTTCGGCACTGCTGGGCCGGCTCGACCGGAGTGATACCACGGCCGAGCAGAAAACCGACGTGAAGCAACGCTTGCGTTGTGTTTCGTCATGTGATTTTTCTCAATTACCCTCCTCGTCTCCCAATCTCCCCATTCACTTAATCTCCAACAGTCCTCAAACTCCTAATCCTTAACTCGTCGAGTACCGTCATTATAGACACAATTAACTCGTCGAGTACCGGTTTCGTAGACACAATTATAGAACAATAGGTTGCGGTCACCGGTGACCGCTTGGTGTTTGACAGTTTAAAGAAAAATAGGTTGCGGTTACCGGTGTAGTCGCGGTAATTGACAGTGTAAAAGGCTGGTAATGCACTTGTAACGTCTCTGGTGCTCCGGGTGTCCATGGGCGACGCGGATTGCTTAATATTATTTTTTTTTTTTAATTAATTAATAATTTGTTTATTTATTTTTCTCCCATTTCGTACATAATATATAAAATCATAATAATATTAGGTGATTCGTCTGCTCCTTTACCGGCTTAGCCCATAAAAAGTTAAAGTCAAAGCATTTATTTCAATTAACCCTTGATTAGGGACTTTTGAAACGCCAAATGGAATTGTCAGTGAAGCTAGGCGCTCATTCCAAGTTGTAGTTTCGAATGAAGAAGATCGAACAAGAAACTCCATCGTTACTCTTTTCAAAAAAACGTTTTGTACAATCTCACAAATACATAGTTGCGCCGTGCATAGCGTCGACCCGGGATTCGAACCCAACAACACCAACGCAGCTGCCGTCGGGCTACTCGAGTCTAGCGTGCCAACAGTGCCACGCGCGCCGCTGTCGCCGATACCACGAATGGAAGAAAGTGCGCGTGAATCACGGCAGAGGGCGCGCTGGGCCCCCAGACTCGAGTAGCCAGTAGCAGCGCGACAGTCTCCGCATCGCGGGTCGCGAAATGCTGCTCATGAATATGAGCCTCTAGCATGGCTTGAAACTAGTCGAGTTCCTCGTCAAATTATTACGTGAGTAAGCCGAAAACATAATAATTTATTTAGTATGTCTCATGAAAGTTACAATACAAACATATGATCCTTACCTATTGTATATTTTGATCATTATAAAATCATTGTATACATTTCACAGAGCCGCGGCTGGGGTACATGGGGCAGGTTATTTTTTTTTTATTTCTTTATTTCAGGCAACTGTGGCCCATATAAAATATAATACACAAATAAAAATACAATACAAAACTAAAAAATAACAAATACCAAAAAATTAAAACATCAATAAACTAATAGATCTATATACAATATCAAAAAACCTCATAATTATAATTATTGCACACGAAAAGACGGCGTCGTGTTTCGCTGACTGGTATCACGTAGCCGGCCACGGAAACGTCGATACACGATACCCTTCGGCCAAAACTGTTCCTTGAGAAAGGTTTCAAGATCATGTGTTGGAACCCGCACCACGAACGACTTGAAGTTAGTATTGTGGCGCGACTCCAACTTCTCGACTCTCAAGGTCCAGTTCGTCTTCACTCGCAAATACTCCAATACATCCTCGGCCTTCGTGGCTCCAGCTCGAAGCAGAAGTAGGAACGGGGTGTTATTTAGTCAGGAAGTGTCTGACACTCTTTCGCCTCACACCAGGCGGCAGAAGTCATTGGATGACTTTCCCCTTTTAAGAAAAAGGTAGGTATACTTTTCCAATGAGCCCCATCTTTAGCAAGCTCCGTATTCACTAAATAGTTGCAAATGTTGCTAAAGGTCTTATTTTTTTTTATATTTGATCGGCCGACATTTGACATCTATCTCGCCTGGTGGTAAGCGATGATGCGGTCTACGACGGAGCACGTCGTCTCATAAACAATCTATTCACTCGGGCTTTGAAGACACCCAAGTTATACCCTTCAGGAAATACACTCTGGCAAAGAATTCCACTCCTTAGCAGTGCGCAAAAGGAAGTTTGATGCGAAGCGCTTCGTGCGTGTGGGTGGAACATTTACCATGAATCGGTGACGCTTCGCCGATTGTCTTGAGGTACGATTATGGAAAGCACTAGGGGGAATCAAGTTGAGCAATTCCCCCGCACACTGACTGAAATTTTAATGTATCCGATAGAAAACCGAAAGTCTTGCAACCTTACGCCTGTGTTCGAGGCTTTAAAGTCGGGCCTCCACAAGCGCATCATCGTTGATAAGCCTCTTGGCACGCTTTTCAATGTGATCTAACGCGTCCAGCTGATATTTAGTCGAGCCGTCCCAAAGATGAGAGCAGTACAGTTACTTCAGTACGTACAGTAGAAAGAAGTAAGGAAGAAAGATATTTTTTAGTACCTGTTAAAATGCCTCATTGGCCGAGTGGGCGCAAGTGCGACTGCCGGGTAAGGGGTCTCGGGTTCAATTCCTGGGTCGGGCAAAGGTATTACTGGGTTTTTAAGAAAAAAAAATCTCAGTAGTAGCTCGGAGTCTGGATTTGTGCCCGGTATATGGCAATAGGTTCACCCCCTATTACATGGGACTCAAAACATAAATAGTGAAAAGTGGGCAGTGGTTACATTATACAGTGGTATAATGTGCACCTCTGCCTACCCCTTCGGGGATAAGAGGCGTGATGTTATGTTATGTTACCTATTAAAATTTGAATGCCAATAGTTCAACACTCGACAACATTGGTATCGTAGTTCCCACTAGGTAGCATTTCTATTAGTGCGGGTTATTTCTAGGGATAGCCTCGTTGGGCGAGAGGCAGCAAGTGCGACTGCTGGGCAAGGGGTCTCGGGTTCGATTCCCGGTTCGTTTTTCCTGTTTTCTTTTTAATAATAAATTGTAATTATTATATTTCACTTTTTTTTACTGTTTTGACTGCTCTTTGTTTAACTTTTTTATTTTTGATTTATTTTGCTCGGAGACCTTTTGCTCGGAGTGGTCGCAAGTGCGACTGCCAAAGGCAAAGTATTACTGGGTTTTTAAGAAAAAAAAATCTCAGTGGTAGCACGGAGTCTGGATTTGTGCCCGGTATATGGCAATAGGCTCACCCCCTATTACATGGGACTCAAAACATAATAGTGAAAAGTGGATGTTACATTGTACGGTGGCATTAAGTGTCGTAATGTGCACCTCTATATAACACTTCGGGGATAAAAGGCGTGATGTTGTGTATGTGTGTGCTAGGGATAGTGGGTTGGTGATCACAGTTTAAAAACTTCATATTTATCAGAGAGCGCTGCTGCCGTACTAAGTGGGGAAATTGTGTTATATATAACAATCGTGTCGAGACACCGATAGACGTCTTGAATAATGTAAGACGACTATGACTTGTATGACATATAAATAGACAACAACAGTACATAAGACAAACAAGAAAATTAACTACTTAGAAAAACAATTTTAGAAAAAGCATATAGCATTTATTTGGCAAATGGCACACAAACAAAGATTATGAAAAATAAAAGATACAGATACTTGCATAAATACATAATATTGATAACAAACATAAAAGCGTAATAAAAATAACAAATATCATCAAAATATAAGAAAATAATGTACATATAATACGAAACAAATGCAATATGTTTTTGAAATAGAGAGAAAAATAAATATGCAAAACAA